AAACAAAGCAAAACTACAATTCAAAAAATGTAAATGAATTATGGTACATTGAAAGCAAATTGAACAACTCCATAGTTAAAACAAATTATGTTAAAATTAGACATCCTTGATATCTGTTTTTGAGCCTTGAGAGTAAATAGGAAAATAATAGTTCTCAAAGGTATTTTCTTTGTCACGTAATTCTGAACTTTTGAACGAAATGCTATTACAGGGATCAGTGTCATTCGAAGACGTGGCTGTGGAGCTCACCAGGGATGAGTGGCAGTGCCTGGGTCCTGGGCAGAGGACCCTGTACAGAGAGGTGATGCTGGAGAACTACAGCCACCTCGTCTCCACGGGTGAGCAGCCCTTCCCCTGCGACTGCCTCTAGAATACATTTCCTCTTTTTAAATTTTCAAAACACATGGATCCTTTATAGAGATTCATCTTTAGGCTTTTGATTAAGAGGCCTAAGTAACTGAAACTTTTAGAGAAATAGAAACAACGTTTGTGTCATTATTTTCCCATTAAAAACTGCAAATAGGTACTTTTATTTTCAAAAACAAAAAGCCATGGTTCTGCTCTGTATATACCCTCAATTGTTCTGTTCACAGGGTATTGCATTACCAAACCCCCAGTGATCTTAAAGTTGGAGCAAGGTGAAGAGCCCTGGTCCTTAGAGGAAGAATTCCTAAGCCAGACGCACCCAGGTGAGCACAGACAAAAAGAAACTCTTGGGGTAGTTAGCCCTTTAAGAGAAACACTTTAGAAAGTTGTTTTTGCTTTTAAATAGCTTTATTGAGATATAATTAGCATATCACATAATTGATTCATTTAAAGTGTACAATTAATTCAGTAGCTTTTACTATATTCATAGATATATGCAAACACCACAGTCAGTTTTCTTCACCTCTGAGAGAAACCCCATGCCATTTAGCTATTACCTCTCTATCCTCTGGCCTGCCAGTCCTAGCAACCACTACTCTACTTGTCTCTATGGATTGGGCTATTCTGGACATTTCATATAAATGGAATTACACATTATGTGTCCTTTTGTGATTGGTTTCTTTCACTTTGCATTACAAGGCTCATATTATAGCATATATTAAAATTTCATTCTTTTTATGGAAAGAATAAATTTCATTGGATATACCACATTTGTTTGCTCATTCATCAGTCAGTGGACATTTGGGATGCTGTCTTTTGGCTATTATTGAGTAATGCTAATATAATCATTCATTTACAAGGTTTGCTCGGACATATGCCTTTATTTATCTCGCGTTTCTAGATAGGAGTGGAATTGCTCGGTTATATGGTAACTCTGTGGAACAGCCAGACTGTTTTCCAAAGTGGCTGCACCATTTGACATTCCTAATGACTGCACCTGAGGGTCTGGGTCCTCCACATCTTCACCAGCCCTTATTACCTGACTTTTGATTATAGCAACCCTAGTGAATGTGAAATGCTATCTCACCGAAGTTTTGATTTGCATTTTTATATTAGTCATCTGGGCTGGCATAACAAAATACCATAGCCTGGGTGGTTTAAATAATAGAAACATATTTCTCCCAATTCTGGAGGCTTAAAGTGTAACATCATGGTGCCAGCAGGGTAGATTTCTGGTGAGGCCTCTCTTCCTGGCTTGCAGGTGAGCACCTTCTCAGTGTATCCTCACATGGCTTTTCCTCTGCACCCCTGGAGAGAAAGAGCTCTGATGGCTCTTTCTGTTTTTGTTAGGACACCAGTTCTATAGAATTAGGGCCCCACCTTTATGACTTCATTTAATCTTAATTACCTCTCTAAAGGTTTTATCTCTAACTATAGTTACACTAGAGGCTCAGTGCACGAAATTCATGCACTTGGGGGAGGGTGGGGAGTCCCTCAGCCTGGCCTGCACCCTCTCACAGTCCAGGATCCCTTTTATTATATAGGATTGGGAGTTAAGGCTTCCAACTGTGAATTGGGAAGGGGGATGCAATCCTATATAATAAAACGGTAATATGCAAATCAACCAAATGGCGGAATGTCCAGTCACTATGCATGCACTGACCACCAGGGGGCAGATGCTTAGTGCAGGAGCTGCCCACTGGTGGTCAGTGCACTCCCACTGGGGGTACCCTGCTCAGCCACAAGCCAGGGTGATGGCTGGCAAGCGCAGTGGCAGTGGCGGGATCCTCTCCTGCCTCCGCTGCAGCGCTAAGGATGTCTGACTGACGGCTCCCGGACTGCTAAAGGGTGCAGGCTGGGCTGAGGGGACCCTCTGCCCTGAGTGCATGAATATCGTGCACTGGGCCTCTAGTTAGTTCATAATAGTTTCTCTAATCACTAATGATGCCAACCAGCTTTTCATGTGCTTATTGGCCTTTGTGTAAACTAATAAAAGATTCCAGGAATTTCAGAAGTCATGACTTCATTTAATCTTAATTACCTCTCTAAAGGTTTTATCTCTAACTATAGTTACACTAGAGGCTCAGTGCACGAAATTCATGCACTTGGGGGAGGGTGGGGAGTCCCTCAGCCTGGCCTGCACCCTCTCACAGTCCAGGATCCCTTTTATTATATAGGATTGGGAGTTAAGGCTTCCAACTGTGATTTGGGAAGGGGGATGCAATCCTATATAATAAAACGGTAATATGCAAATCAACCAAATGGCGGAATGTCCAGTCACTATGCATGCACTGACCACCAGGGGGCAGATGCTTAGTGCAGGAGCTGCCCACTGGTGGTCAGTGCACTCCCACTGGGGGTACCCTGCTCAGCCACAAGCCAGGGTGATGGCTGGCAAGCGCAGTGGCAGTGGCGGGATCCTCTCCTGCCTCCGCTGCAGCGCTAATGATGTCTGACTGACGGCTCCCGGACTGCTAAAGGGTGCAGGCTGGGCTGAGGGGACCCTCTGCCCTGAGTGCATGAATATCGTGCACTGGGCCTCTAGTTAGTTCATAATAGTTTCTCTAATCACTAATGATGCCAACCAGCTTTTCATGTGCTTATTGGCCTTTGTGTAAACTAATAAAAAATTCCAGGAATTTCAGAAGTCATAGTTTCAGTATAGTTTCTCAAGCAAAAAGTAAAATCATCTTAAGTACATGTTTTCACTGAAAGTTTTTGTTGTGAAGCCATTTAAGTAGGTAGTGTAACATAAAGGTTGACAAAATTTCAATCAAACATGTTTCCCAGTCACTAAGTGTAAATGATTGGATCATACTGATTGGCGAAAAAAGATATCCTTAAATAAAATCCTAATATGCAAATTGACCTAACAGTGGAATGACAGGTCACTATGACGTGCACTGACCACCAGGGGGCAGACAGATGCTCAGTGCAGGAGCTGCCCCCTAGTGGTCAGTGCACTCCCACAGGGAGGGCTGCTCAGCCAGAAGCCGGGCTCACAGATGGTGAGCGCAGCGGCGGTGGCAGCAGCGCTAAGGACCCCTCGGGGGATGTCCGACTGCTGGCTTAGGCTCACTCCCAGGGAGGCTAACAGCCCCTGAGGGGCCCCGGACTGCGAGAGGGCGCAGGTCAGGCTGAGGGACATCCCACCCCCCCTCAATGCACAAATGTCCTGCACTGGGCCTCTAGTCCTTAAATAAGGGACATTGGCACCTGAGAAAATAACTGGGTGGTTACTATTACAGAAGGCTTGTGGGAGCCAGGTCTCTCACCCCTGCCCAGTGTTAATGTGGCAGCTTTGTCCTCCACCTCCCAGGGGTATCACCAAAGTTTTAGTGGCTTACCTGGACTCCTTTCCCCACGTGGCTGTACTGGTGCTCACCCCGTTCTTCTGTTGGCATGATTTCAGAGGAGGCTGGCTAAGACTAAACAATGACTTTGATAAAGTCCGTTCTTGAATTTTTTGTAAGGATCATGTTTTTGTTGTCCTGTCTAGAAACATTGGAACTCAGATTTATTCCTGTGATTTTTTTTTCTAGAAAAATTTAAATTCAACATTTTGCATTTTGTGATCCATTTAGTGTTCATTTTTATAGAAAGTGTGAGGTATAATTTTTGAAAAAGGTGTTCAGTTATTTTAGCACCGTATGTTGAAAAAATTGTCATTGAATAGTACTTGCATGATCTTAGAAAAACAGATGAGTGCATATTTGCATATACATTTGTATACATGCTTTGTATGTCTAAGATTGCATATTTCTGTGGTGTCTTTATTATTTTTTATTTATCTACTAATGTTACCACAGCAGTTTATTTTTGAAATCGAGTAGTGTGAGTTCAACTTTCTATATGAATTCTAAAATGAGCTTTTCGATATTTATAACAAAGCACGCTGGCTTTTTTCAGCTTGGATTGCATTAAATCTATAGATCAAATTAAAGACAATCAACATGTTAATAATATATTGTATTCTAATCCATAAATAACATTTACCTCTCCAGTTATTTAGGATTTCTTTCATCAGTAGTTTTCAGCATACAGATACCAGTTTTGGGGGTTGGTTTTTGTTTTGTGTGTGTGTGTGTGTGTGTGTGTGTGTGTACTATGGTAAATTATCTTGTATATCTAATTTCAGATTCCAGTTGATCATTATTTGTATATTATTGGCTTTGGCATATTAGCTCTGTATTTTGACTTTGCTGAAAACACTTAAGTTTATGGAGTTTTCTAAATGAATTTTTTTGTGATTTTTCTTTGTAGACTTTGTATCTTTCATTTTTATTCTTGCTTTATTGCATGGTAATGGAACTTCCATTATAATAGTAGAAGTGAACACTTTCTACTCAACACCTTTTTCTGCTTTTGAGAGTAAACACCCTTTTATTTTTTCCAATCTTAGTGTTAAAGCATTCAGTCTCAATTATTAAGTATGATGTTAGCTATAGGCTTATTGTAGATTCCTTTTATTAGGTTAATGGTTGAATTTTTAATTTAATGAACTATTTTATCTTAATTGATGTGGTTGTGTGATATTAATATTAATATTTTAGCCAGTTAATATGATGAATTACATTGACTGATTTTTTACCTTGGCAACTTTGCATTCTTGAGATGAATCCCACTTGATCCTGATTAATTATTTATTTTTATATATAGTTGGATTCCTTTAGCTACTTTATTTTTTTGCTAATCCTCACCCAAGAATATTTTTCCATTGACTTTTTTTTTTAGAGAGAATGGAAGGGAGAGATGGAGATAGAGAAACATCTTTGTGAGAGAGAGACATCGATTGGTTGTCTCTTGCACATTCCCCGACTGGGGCCAGGAACCAAACTGCAATGGAGGTACTTGCCCTTGAGTGGAATCAAACCTGTGAACCTTCATTCCGCAGGCCTACATTCTAACCACGAGCCAACCCAGCCAGGGCTAGCTACTAGTTTTTAGTATTTTTGTATTTATTGTCATGAGGGATATTGGTCTGTAGGTTTCTTTTCTTGAATTACCTTTTTTTTTTGCTGTGAGAACACAGGCCTCAAAATGATTCAGGAAGTCCACATATTCTAATTTCTTGAAGAGATTATGTAAAAACATTTTTTCTTTAAATGTTTGGTAGAATTCAGTAGTTAACACCATCTGGTCCTGGAGCTGTTTTTTTTTTTTTGTTTTTTTTTTTTACCCCATACTCAATTTCTTAACTAGATCTATTTGGGACTTTTCTTTCTTCATGAGTGAGTTTGGAAGTTTTTTATTTTTACGAAATTTGTTCTTTCATATAAATTGTTAAATTTGTGGGCATTGGGTTTCTCTCAATATTCTTTTATTATCTCTTTAATGTTTGTTGTATCTGTAGCTATATCTCCCCCTTGTATTTATTTCTGATATTGATGACGTGTCTCCTTGTTTTTTCTTGGTTCGTTTAATCATGTGAAAAATTTCTTTTCAAAGAAATAAGCTTTGGTTTGATTTTTCTCTGTTGTTTTCAGTTTCATTGTATTTGCTAACCTTTATTATTTCCTTCTTCTTTCTTTAGATTTAACTTTTCTTTGTGTAGTTTTTTTAATCCTTATCCAAAGATATGTTCATTGATTTTAGAGAGAGATTTATATAAGAGAGAGAGAGACATTGATTGGTTGCCTCCCTTACATGCCCCGATGAGAGACTAAACCTGCAATCTAGATATGTGTCCTGAATGGGAATTGAAACTGCAACTATTTGGCATAGGGAATGACACTCCAACCCACTGAGCCATCCATCCGGGGCTCTTTGTGTAGTTTCTTAAAGTGGAAGCTTAGGTAACTGGTTGGAGATTTTTTTCTGCTAATATAAAACATTTCAAGCTGTGAATTTATCGCAGTGCTTCTTGAACTGCATCCCACAAATTTCTATGTTTTGAACCGTTTTTGTTTTCATTCACTTTAAAATACCTTAATTTTCTGTGAGATGTGCTTTGTGACCCATGATTTAATTAGAAGCATATTAATGTACAAATACATTTTTTATTTTTTAAGATAACCTTATGTTACTAATTTCTAGTATAATTTTTCAGTGGGTTGAGATAATATTTTATATAATTTTTAAATATCTGTAAAGATTTGTCTTATAGCCCATAATGTGGTCTGTCTTGATGAACAGTCATGTGTACATTTGACAATAATGTGAAATTCTGCTGCATTTTAGTGTATTTGTGTCTTTGGTTTTGCAGGGTGTACTTTGTACAACTGTTGCTTCTCATTTCTCCTACCTGTAATATTGGGCCTACCATGTATTCCTGCTCCCCCTTTTTTTTGTACTTCTGTTTTGTTTTCTCCTGCCTGTTTTGAGTTGGCCACCAGTGCCCTGAACCAACAGCTTTGTTCCTAATGCCCATCCCTCCCAGGCCTTCACTACTCTATTGTCTGTCCATGGGCTATGCATATATACATATAAGTTCCCTGGTTAATCACTCCCCTCCCATCTGCCCCACCCCCGCCTTCCCTCTGAAATTCATCAGTCTGTTTCATGCTTCTATGTCTCTGAATTTATCATTTTGTCCATTAGATTCCACATATGAGAGAAATCATGTGATACATATCTTTCTCTGACTGGCTTATTTCACTTTTCATAATACTATCCAGATCCATCTATGCTGTTGCAAATGGTAAAAGTTCTTTCTTTTTTACAGTTTTGTAGTATTCCATTGTGTAGATGTACCACAGCTTTTTTATCCACTCATCTATTGATGGGCACTTGGGCTGTTTCTAAATCTTAGCTATTGTAAATTGCATTGCTGTGTATATAGGGGAGCATACTAGTACATTCTTTCAAATTGCTGTTTCAGGATTCTTAGGATATACTCCTGGAAGTGGGTCAAATCTCTGGGTCAAATGGGAGTTCCATTTTTAATGTTTTGAGGAAATGCCATACTGTTTTTCACAGTGGCTGCACCAGTCTGCATTCCCACCAGCAGTGTACTAGGGTTCCCTTTTCTCCACATCCTCACCAACACATGTCCTTTGTTGATTTGTTGATGATAGCCATTCTGACAGGTGTGAGGTGATATCTCATTGTGGTTTTGATTTGCATCTCTCAGATGATTAGTGACTTAGAGCATTTTTTCATATATCTCTTGGCCTTCTATGTGTCCACTTTGGAGAAGTGTCTATTTAGGTTCTCTGCCCATTTTTTAATTGGATTGTCTTCCTTTTGTTAAGTTGTATGAGTTCCCTGTATATTTTGGAAATTAACTCCTTATCAGATGTATCATTGGCAAAAATGTTCTCCCATGCAGTGAGCTCTCTTGTCATTTTGTTGATGGTTTCTTTTGATGTGCAGAAGCTTTTTATTTTGATAGTGTTTCATTTGTTTATTTTCTCCTTAGTTTCCTTTGCCCTTGGAGATGTATCGGTAAACATATTACTATGAGAGATGTCTGAGACTTTGCTGCCTATGGTTTCTCCTAGGATTTTAATGGTTTCATGTCTTATACTTAAGTCTTTTATTCATTTTGAGTTT